CATTGACTCCAAGTAAACACATCTTAATTAGGTATATTTATTAATGCATACTTGACACAATTATTACATTACTTACATTGGTGTAAGCAAGATCTAATGATATACATCATGAATGTAAACACAAGTACAAGTGAATAGTGAACATAAATTGCCATAAACATATAATGCTCACAGTATGCATGCTCTTGTCTTCAGGTTTCATTGCCATTTACATAAGCATTCATCAGCAGATCCATTCAAGGATAAAATTGTTGCTGTTTTAGAACTTGCACTTTAATCTTGCACTTTTTGGTGAAACCATTTACTTTTCAAAAAGGACTGGTTTCTGCAAGAAGTAATATTACAGCCTGAATGCCATTGGATTTTCTCCATGAACTTGCAGTCTAGTCTTCAGGTTTCATTGCCATTTACATAAGCATTCATCAGCAGATCCATTCAAGGATAAAATTGTTGCTGTTTTAGAACTTGCACTTTAATCTTGCACTTTTTGGTGAAACCATTTACTTTTCAAAAAGGACTGGTTTCTGCAAGAAGTAATATTACAGCCTGAATGCCATTGGATTTTCTCCATGAACTTGCAGTCTAGTTACATTTCTAAAAAGATTTTTAATCATTTTAAAAGGAAAATCTCATTTAAAAATTGGTACTTTTCTAATTTTTAAATTTCTGTTTCGCCGGCGCAAATCTCACCGAGCAGACTTTATTGGTGACAGTGTACACATAAAAAACATTAACAAATGTTAGTTCTAATAATTTTTTATTTTGAAGGCATAAACATTTTAATATCGATTAAAATTTTGTAAAAAGCCAATAAATAAAGACAATAAATTTCTAAGACATTGATTTAAGAATTTACTATGCTTTCACTGTTCAACATCCTGATTCGCCATTTCATACCATGTGATCCCATCTCACATAAACTACGATAACAAAAATCTAATCCCTCTCAGTAATTATCTACATTAATATTAAGTTAAATCTTAATATGGAATACAAGTTTAAATGCAAGAATTATTTCAATTCATATGAAATCTTACTCAGAAATTATGTAAAACAGCAGTGCTTTACTTCACTAGTGTATTCTTATGAGAATTTATGAATTTAACCCTTGACGTTACCTTTTCTACATTTTTTGGCTTTGGGTGAGCAGTGTGATTGCATCCTAATTGTCTTAATTACCACAAATGGTCTTAAGGCATAAAATTGAACTATCTGCTAAAAATTCTATGTAATTGTATGCCAATATTGAAAGAAACAATCAATCTTATAAGAAATGGCTGCGACTTGTTTTGAAAATGAGGCGGAAAAAGGTTACCAGCGAAGATATTCCGTTTGGCATCGTTTGTACCATTTTTGGCAACTTTATTGCCTGCACCGGCAAAATGAAAAAGTACCATTTTCAGTTTTTACATGATGCTGATAAATTCCAAAGTTACCAAAAAGTACCAAAAATTCTGCTAGTTATTAACTTTAAAAGTTATATTTTACTTTACTTTTAAAGAATAAAATCTGTCTTTTGTTACTTTGTCGCTTTTTCTTGAACTTGTTTAATATTTTGCATTAGGATTTTCAAATAAAAAAAGAATTTAGAAATTTAAGAAATTTATGCTCACAAAACACTGTAGCTGTAATTCAGATTTTAAAAGTGGAAAATTCTTCCACTATTTAAATGTGTCATTATAGCATTAATAAAAACTCACTAGTCTGTTAGCTAAGAAAAATTCTTTAGAAATGTATGGATATGTTATCACTAAAGTAATGCTGATTATCTAAAATTCTAGACTAATCCATTAAAATGTGGAATATATTTTCATTTCTCACATTACATAATTTAATCTGAATATTATCTAGTTTGTCTGCGCATTGTCTATTAGACACTCATTAAAGAAATATAAGATCTTTGCTCAAGCAGTAGAATCATTTCCATTTGTTTAAATTAATAATCAAACAAACAATTGCCATCATGTTTGTATTCCATGAAGTTGTAAGTATTATCATGTAATATTCACTTGCTTGTAAATCATTGGCAAATGTTGAAATGTTTTCAGCTTCTAAAGAACAAGTTAATAGAATCAGTAAATCAGCAGAATAGTTCATGGAATTAATCAATGAATAAAGTAGAAAGCAAAGGACTAATTATGTGGCTATAAAGTAATCTTATAAAAATTTAATGTGGCCTGTACATGACATACTGCCAGTTCCAGTGTTATAAGTAGCAACAAGCTTTAACCCATTCAGAACCAACGTTCGCATAGGCATGATGCAAGGATTCCACTTTTACCCTCCCAGCGCTGCTTATACACAAAGAGCTCCGGTGGAACTCTTCAGCCGGCGTTGTATATGCATAACTTGAAAACGAAACTTTCTTTTTTCTTTCTTCCTTTCTTTTTTTTTTTTTTTTTTTTTATTTATTTTAAAATGCGGGTGGATATAGCTAAATGGTAACAATTTTCATATTGGTTAAGTCATGTGGCTTTTGTTCTTCATGTATGAGCGTCAGTTCCTGTTTTGTGCGCCCTAATTTGGAATTTGTTTAATTATTGTTTTCAGATTTTATAACACTTAATGAATTATGATTAGCAAACTCGGTGATTTCAAAGCGAGCAATGGCAAAAGTGTATTGAAAAAAAATATTTATATCTTCAGTGTGTGAGACTGTGTATCGAAAATTCTAAAGATATGCTTATTTTAAAATCATTTTGCGATATTGCTATTGAATTGAATTTTATGGTTTAAGTGTGAAGAGCGTGATATTTAATGAATAAAGGTAATGCACAAAAGGTTAAAAAAAGTCCATTTAACCATAATGTAAAATCTGAAAGCTTTCAAATATTTATTTTATTTTATTTTTTTGTAAGGAGAATGTGGGAAAACGCATCTAGCTGACTACAGCGAGCATAACATTGCTGAACTTCCGTGATGGAAAAACTCCTTTTTTTGTATTTATTTTAAAACTTAACATAGACTTTCTTGGTTAATTAAAAAGTAACTTTACAGCATTATTACAGACAGGGGAAGACATCAGATTTCCCAATGCATGATGCATCTTACTTGCTCGACATACACTTAGTGTAAAAAGCCGTTGTTGTCCTATGTGTCATCGATAGTGTTGAATTATTCCACATACAACAAAATTATTAAATTGCACTATTTGTTACACACAACATACAACAAAATTATTAACTTTACAGCATTATTACAGAAGGGGGGAAGACATCAGATTTCCTAGTGCATAATGCATCTTACTTGCTCAACATATGCTTGGTGTAAAAAGCCGTCATTGTCCTATGTGTCGTCAATAGTGTTGAATTATTCCACATACAACAAAATTATTAAAGTGGAATGTAATTACCTGCAGATAACTATTGCTTAAGTTTCTTTTACATTTTGTATTTGTAATTTTGTTTTTATGCGTATAGTTATAATTTTAATATTTTGGATTTTCATTTATTTCTACTAATGTGATATTCTTTGTATTAATACATATTAAGAATTAGTATATTAAGTACATAACTTCAGAAATTGAGGTCATTATATTAAAATGCTGATTTTGTATGAATTCTCTTGTAAAAGTAGGCTTAACTGCTGAAAATGCATGATGGCAATGTTCTATTTCGGGGGGGGGGGGTACTCGTAGTTGCGCTTTGTTCTTCGTGCGCTGGTTCTTAAGGGATTAAGCAAAGCATCACTTCTGGTTGATCTTTTTTAATTTTTAAATAAAATCTGTGTTCCAATAAACAGAAAGGTCGGCAAAGTGAAATTTTTTATTACACTTTAATTATATGTAATTGGCTCCGTTTAAAAATTGTTCTTTTTCTAAATTTATACTAACATAATCAAATGTTTGTCCCTTTATTTTCTTATAAAAATTATACCTTTTTTTGGCAGTTGAGTAAGATAATTTAATTGGTTTTTAATTATATAAAAGTAAGTGTTTATAATATATTTAAAACAAATAGTCTAACCATTTGCGGCACAGTGTGTCCGGTCTGGACACATCTAAAAATTTCCTTCTATACACACAGAAAAATTGAATGAGAAAGGATTTATAGGTTACTCTGAACCTTCTTCTTTATTTATAATAAATGGCAGCTCAACACAAACCAGTCCATATATTTTAGCCATGTTTAGATTTTTAAGACCCGCATTTTTCAAAGAAATTGTCCAGATTTTTTTAGGGTATGAAAGGAATTGTTTGAAAAGAAATTTGTATTTAATTTTTTTTAATTTCTTTAGCTGTATGCTTTATCTCTTTAGTTTATATTAGTTTTAAATTTTTATCTTGAAATCTTGCCTAAAATCAAACGGTGAACCCTAGGTGTGCACAGACCGGTCTCACTGATAATCTAGGACAACTGAAAGTCTGTGTTCTTTGTTTCTCCGCATCTCATTGGTCAGTTCATTGACAACAATGCTCATTTCAGCACACTTATCGAATCTGTATTCAATCAGTGTACCCACTTTGGGCACAACCACAGAATTAAAAGATAAGTGCTAGCTTCACAAAATTTTACTTGTGTACTCCTCTAGGCCTGATTAGACTGCCTACCTTTTTTTTTTTTTTTCTTTCTTTTATCAAAACTCCAACTTTAAAAGGTAGTGGGCCAGAAAGGGTTAAAATATGTACCACAATATAAATTTTCTCTGAAGTTTAATCATTTTATGAAAATTATATTTATACTAGTTGGAGAAATTGTTTTTAGAACATGCCTGGGACTGATAGAGACTGTTGTTTGTTGTTTGAAGGGCAAGCCCTTTTGTTGGCCATATGATTGGCCTATGCTGGCTAAGAGGGCTGATGATCTTTAGGAAACAGGCAAGCTTTGAATGTCACCCAGCATAACATGTTACTTTTTTGTTAATTCTGAGCGTGGCATACTATCATATTTTGGCTACCTTAGCAAATATTTATTTGAACTGTTGTATTTGTTTTCAGGCTCTTTTATTATTATTATTATTATTATTATTATTCATTAACTATATCTTTTCCCCTTTCTAAGGTAATGCCAATCTTGCATGTTGCTGAGCAAGCTGTAGCTAATGCATCACGTGATTTAGTAAATAAGCATAATTCAGCTTTCACAAATGAGCGAATTTTAAAACAGGTAAGATATATATTTTTATAGCTTAGAATAAATACTCTGAGTGAAAAAATTATGGTTTTCAAAATATTTTATTTATTTATTTATTATCAGTTCATACATTTATGAAATATTTTTTGCTGTCCATCATTTTATTGCTTAATTTCACTCCAAAAAATCATTAGAGAAAAATGGGTACTTAGGTATTAATGCAGCCATCTGAGTAGAAGTACCAAATTCTGGCAGCCATGCTCATAACAGTCTTTCATTCAAGCAATACCACATTTTGGCATGCATTCTTTTTGTGTGTGTGTATATTCCAAGCTCCAACAGTTTTTATAAATAAACCATGATATTTTTTTCCCTTAGACTTAGTTTTAAAATATGAGCATGTGGTATTTCTCAGTAATGGAAGATACTGCGCTAAAATTTCTCCAGAAATATGGAATTTTGCTGAACATTTTCTAAAGGGAACAACAAGGAAATATGTTTCCTGCATAGCCGCTCTTGCCAAGTCTTGACAATTCTCTATTTTTTTTTAAAGCAAAGACTGATTGCTTTGTAGTTAAGGAGAGGAATAGTGCAGAAAACTTTGAAGAAGAATGTGTTTTATTTTTTATGTATCACATAATCCTTATTTAATAGTTTAAATTGCTAACATATGTTTTCTTTTCATATGTTGATAATGCTTAATGACTATAAATATGCATATTTTGATAATCTTAGTTTAAAAAAAAAATTCACGAAAGCCATCACCCGACAACTTGCACCCAATAAGTAGCTTTCATCTATAAAAAATCACCAAATTTTGTCAGGATACTTTAGTATGTAAGTACCAGAAAAGTGTATGTATAATTTCTTTAGTTTTCAGCCTACTCATTTTAAATAAGTGATCAGTTTTTCTCTGATCAGATTTTTTGGATGTGTTATATTTCTCTACTGTACTAGTATGTCAGTTATTTTTATGACATACTGATTTTTCTTAAATGAAAGAGTAACTTTTGCTGATGTTTTTATATTAAATATATTTATTTATGCTTATACGTGCTTAATAACCACATTTAATAATTTCAGCATTATTTTGCTTTGTTTACTGTTATTTTTTAAGGAGTGCAAACGTTTATTAATGCATTGTTCAATTGATTTTCAGGTCATATAGAGTACACATTAAAAAGCTTAGTTACTTAATGTTATTTATATGAAAGATGATCATACTTTAATGGACTACTTACATACCTCATAAATTCAAAAGCAACCCTAATCTGTTCTGATAAATATTACTTAATATATAATCACAGTGACTGTGTATTATAATCCATTTAATATGTACTTTTGTAGTATACTTTGAATATCTTTACTTTCTGAATATACTTTAAATATCCATTAGATCATTGTTCTCAAACTGATAGGTGGCCCATGGGCCATATGCACCTCCCAAAGCAATTTTATGTGGCATATGAGTACATTTCAATAATGTATTTGTTGCAAAGATTTCAAAATAGTTATCTAAAGTTTGCAAATTTTTTTTTAACCATTTAAAACAAACATGAATAGCTCACGAGAAGAATCTATAAATGGGGCTAATTAATTAACTTTGTGATATAAATGTTATTCATAGATTTAAAGGTACAGATTTTATTGGCTTTTATTCGTATGTGTCAAAAAATAAATAAGCTTAGTTATGAATTTTACACTGAGAATAATCACTTTGTTTAGGAATACATTTATATGTGAGCAGATTTTCTTCACAGTTGAAATCTGTGGACTTCAGGTGATTGAATAGTTATCAAGTTTTAGAAAGAAATAAAAAAAAAATTGTAATTATTTAAATACAAACATGTGTATTTTTATCCATTGAAGAAAAATTTAATAAGGTTGTTCTACTTGGAAGCTTTTCACTGAAAAATTAGAAAGATTACATAATTTGTTTATTTTTAGTTTAAATTAAGTTTTTAATAATTAATTAATTAAACATGTTAGAACTCTTTGAAAGGAATGTCAGTCTATAGATTTATGTATAGCTAGCTATCAATATAATTGAATTACAAAATGGAACTAACAAAAATGTCTTGCAGGTATCAAATTTTAGATTTCAATTAGAAAATAAATATTACTTTGTACTTTTTCCTATGTGTTATTAGTATTGCTGTTTGTATGTGTTTTGATAAAATTTAGTAAACAAAATTTCTGTTAAAAAAAAAGAAAAAAATTTGGCCCATCAACTGCTTTCATATTGTGTATTCGGCTTACATGCAGTTTGAGTCGATACCACTGCATTAGATGTTTATGATCTGGGTAGCTAGTTTTTCCCAAAGAATACATTTTCTTCACTCTCATTTGTCTTCTCCTTCTGCCCCTAATAGATTAAATGCATTTAATGAAGAAATGAGAAATATTTCCAAAAACATCGTGTTTACTCAACTAATCAATATGCTCAAATAATATATCTTTCTTTTCTTTTCTTAAAGCTTTATCAGGCCCCAACTCCCCTCCACCCCCCCAAAAAATAGATGAGTTGTCTGTACATCAGAATAAAAAGGGGGGAGGGAATCTTTATGAAATTCACTTATTGTTAATTATCCACATGGAACTAAATCCATATGGACTACTGACATTATCTTCTTTAAAGTAATTTTTGACCCAATTAAAAATAAATATATTTTAAATTCAAAAACAGTTTATAGAAAATGTAGCAAAATAAATGCATGTTTCGAGCAATCATTTTGAATAAATGAATTACAATTAGTGGGAAGAATGAACCTTTTTTTATCACACATCTTTTGAAATTTTGGAATCAAATTGGAAATAGCCACCTTATTTTCTGTTATACATTGATTTTTCATGCAATGTTTGCTTTTAATTTCAGCAAAGGTGGAAAATCCAACTTTGCACAAGTATGACTTTTACATGAAATGTTTTTTTACAGAAGTAAAGTCAGGTGGGGGACTAGTCCATCTGGAGTATTGACATTATGACTTTGAAAGTAATATTAAAACCAGTTAATAAACTGATAGCTGCTTTTCAAAAGCAGTAGTTGGTATATAATGTATTAAATGTTCTTCTTACCATAGCACTACCATATTGATTATCTAATCTTAAAATCACATAAACTAAGTATTATTTCTATGAAAATATTAGAGTATTCCATGATGCTGTATAAATTATTCAGAACACAGTGCACAGTTTTCAAATCATTGATGTAATGTAAAATATTGCATTTAAATCTTAGAAACTACATTAGGCTTCATTTATAATGATTAAAATGTTCTTTTTTGGTTGATTTGATTTTTGTATTTAAGTAAATTTCTATTTTTAGGATTTTCCAGTCTCAGAAGCTGTTTTGATTGCCTTTCTTTCTCTTTCAGTTTAATAGTGCTTTCCTGAAAATTTTTTTTTTTTAAATGAAATGAAGTGCAAAATATCTGCTTAACTATAGCAAAAGTGTATTTGTTTTTCCTAATTTGAAGAGAAATATGTTATTGTAAAATATGGAAGGGAGCAATTGTTCATTAGCACAGAATTTAAATAAAATTCGACCAGTTTCAAGGATACATGCCTGTATTTTTCAGAAGAAAAACATAACATTCTACAGATTTTTAGTAACATTCAGGAATATAGGGAATCTGTGGGTGACACAAAGAGAATATTGAGTGTAGAGCCAATAATCGAGCAAAAAAATGTGTACAGTGAAACTTAAAAAAGCCATTAGAATGATTCCATTTGCTAATAAAGAAGTCTTTTTTAATGTGAAAGTTTTTAGGGAGCCTTTTGTGATATATGGTATTAAAATGTGGTTAACCTGACCTGGTGAGTTTCAAGTTGACATTTTATGAAGAACCCCCCCCCCCAAAAAAAAGTATTTACATCAAATAATGTGTGTTTTATTTTATTGAAAAGTTTTGTAATTTAATAAAAATAAATCCTTGTAATAAATGTTTTGATATTTTTAATTTCATTTGCCTTCTTATATAGATATTGTGCATATTGGTCTGTTTCTTTGATCAGTGTTTTAAATATTTTTAGCAGCTAAAAATTGATTAAATTATATTATGTAAATTTATCAGTTTATGGAATGTAATTTACCTTTTTCATGGAAATACATATTCTTTTAATATTTTGGGTTTTTGAAATCAAAATTTTATAAATGGTGTATCATAGTAAAACAATAACTGGTAAAGAAAATAATTACTAAACTGATTAGTAAATAAGCTGATGATGAAAATTCTTTCATTTCAGAGGCAAGTGCTTCGTATGATTCCTATAGGAGAAGTCAGGTTTCAGTGGAAAAGTACAAATGGAATATTTTATGTTTATGGGTTTGAACGTAAAGTGTACTTTGTTGATTATCCCCAGAAGTGCTGTTGCTGTTCTATTTTGTAGTAATTAAGTCTAGCTTTCCTCATAAGATTTCAGTCATTCAAGTTTCCCATAGTCTGAAAAGTATTTCTTCAATTGATTTTAATGTTATGTACTGTACTTGCTTTCATGTAGTCCTTCTGAAATATAAGTGAATACAGTGGTTATGTTTTCAGCCATGATTGTTAGATTTGAATTTTTCATAGAAGAGGTTTGAATATAAAGTGTATCTTGTTGATTATCTCCAAAAATGCTATTCTTGTTGTGTTTTGCAGTAGTATTATACTACTACCTTTCTTAATAAGGTTCCATTTTCACATTTTTAGTAATTTGTTAAGGATCTCTTCATTTGATAATACAGTGATTTTGTTTTTATCCATGCTATTTTTTATGGAAGTAATGAACAAATTATTATGGGCTGTTTTCTTTTGTTATGATTGAGGGGGAAAATTTTCAGTGTATTTTTTAGCTTTGATTCAAATAAAAATGTCTCCAAAAATAAAGAATTCAAATAAAAGTATTAACATATATCAGTGCTTAGCAACATAAAGAACAGTTGTAATATTTTAAATAATATTTGCCTAATTTGTTCTTTCCACTCCCCCCCCTCCCTATACAGTTTTGAGTGTTCATAGGTATAAGCTTCAGTGTCCATTTGTGACCTTATTTTTATGTGCAGGTAAAGAAATTATTTAGTACTGTGCCTTAAATCAGAAGCCAGTAAAAAAAAAGTTTAATACATTTTTTCAATCGCATTTAAAGGTATTAAGTTTCACAATTGTATTTTTGCTATAATATATATTGCTGCCTTTTATTATGGAATAAGATGAGTGAGATATATGTGAATAAATAATAATTTTGTTCATATGTGTGTAACCATAAATGCAATGAAAGCTGCCATCTATCTTTTTGTTTACCAAGTTTATGTCGTTATCTATTTTTGTATGATCTGAATGTAATTATGATATGCCAATGTAAAAATGTAATACAATGTTTGTTCCTCTAATTTGCATTGCTTGTGAAAAGTTTTACATCTGCCTTTGTACTCTGATTTATACAATAAATATTTTTGTGAAATTCTATTATCTTTATGTCAGTTTTCATAGTTGCATACTGTGGAAAACATGGATTTCCCATCACACTTTTAATTGTCATGTTCTATTATTTGTCAGGTACTGAGACATTCCAGGGAAATTGAATTCACCCCTCACTCAAAAAGGGAACAAAAAGTGAAAAAAAAAAAAACATAATTTCAAATAAAGCATACTATATAATAAAATACTTATGCTGTCGCCATATTTTGAATTAAAAGAATAAAATACTCTATTGTGTTGTTAAATAAAATTACACAGCCAAAAAAGTATATAAATACACAGTTGAAAAGTACTGTACAAGTTTGATAATCGCAAGATATTCTGTTTCTCATAAAATATAATTTAAGCTGAATAAACAGTAATGTAAGTTGACTACTTAATATACTTTATTATACAATACTAAACTGTGAATAGTCTTGGTATTTAGAACACTATGCTGCATTTATTTACGTATCTTTTGTCTGGTATAATAGGTTAAAAGTATCATATTTTATTTTAAATTTAAGCTGAAAATTAGACATTCTGGAAAAGTAAAATGTATCTGATATTTGTCATATGACTATAAATTGTTTTGTTTTCCAGGAAACAATCTCAACTATAAACATGAATTTTACTCTTACAAAGTGCCTAGTAAGATCTTGATTGAGACCACATAATTTGAACTTATTTTAGTAGTAAGCAATAGTAGTGATACTTTTTCCTTCCATCAGCCTTGTTAATTGTAATTAGTATGACAAAGCAGGACGTTTTCAATAATGTTAACACTATCAGTAGAGTAGTCAGTAGCTTTTTAATGACTAAAGGTATCTTTTTTCATCTCAAATTTATTTGAGGAATCAGTTTGGCAGTAAGTATCTCTCTTAGGCTACAGTTTGCGATTAACATTAGATAAACATTGTTTTAGATTCAAGTAAGTGTGCACTGTGTGGGATTACTTGTCTTTCAGTGCCTTAAATCAAAGAAGATTGATTGTAATCACACAAATTTGACATCATCATGAAAAGGATAGAAACAAGTTTCTATATACTATACTGTTGAATAACTTGTGATGAAAGCAGATTACTGACTCTGTCTAAGGAATGAATCACCATACAGTTGAAAGACTTCTTCTGGAATAAAGAAATTTTCTACGCAACTCAAATGGCATGGCAGATGGTTGTATAGAAAAACAGTATATGAGTTATTTCATGCTATTAAATAAATAGCATATAAATTCCTGTTTCCAAATCACTCTGGAGTATTTTTATTACGCTTTTGCAGTACACAAGAACAAGCAAGCGGAAGAGATATAATATGACTAGTTTTCAATTTTAATCTTGATTTTTAATTATACCATAATATATTTTACCATTAGTTTTCCAAAAAATTCAAATCATGGCAAATGGACTGGTTGCATGGGTATTTTTGTGCTCTTTCTTATGTGTAATGCAGACATGAACTAGTTTCCCTTAGAAAACTTTCCATGAAAGCATCCCTCCTCTTAGTCATATAGCCCTTGTATGCATTGCCATAATCAAATAAACCAAACCTATCTATTATTTATGTATCTGGTGATGGTGATAGTGATAGTGGAAGAAGTTTGTGTTATTTGCCTATTCTCTTACTTGTCCATATTTGTCCAGGGTTCGTACGGTTCTTAACAGTCCTTAGATTTTTTGGAATCGATTTTTGGTCCTTAAAAGTCCTAAATTTTGGCCAAAATCAGCAGAAGGTCCTTAATTTTAATCATCTGAAATTTCTGTCTGTTTTTATAACTGCCATTTTGAGTGTGAATTAGCATTTTGGAGGAATATTTTTGGCGATTCACTGACATATATGGTTATCTTTTGAATGGGTTCATGGGATATAATTTGTTTTCTATTTCTAATAGTATAAATGATGGGATACTCAAGTTTCTAAGCAAGAAGTGAAACATAAGCCATTTTCGAAATTCATTTCTTCTAATAAAGAGCTTCTTAAACAACTTTTCGCTTTTGGGACGTGAATTCTTTTATTAAATGGTTTCTAAATTTGGCGACTTATCAACATTTTGGCAATTTTAAAATCAGTTTCTACAGAAAATTTTTAATTCCGAGGTCCGAGAATTTTACGACGATTTTTTTTAGAACATTATAAGGCATTGATAAATTATCATTAAAGTAATGGTAATGTATTGTAATTATATTTAAGAAATAACATTAAAATAAAACATTTTTATTTTTCGCTGTCATATTATAAAGTTTCATTTTGGCAACTTATATACAATATTTTGAATTTGAAAATATAAGCAAGGTATAATGCTATAGACGCACAATTTATGAAACAGTTCTTAACAAAAGCAAAATTAGCTATGCAATTAATTTTTAAAAAGTCTTTCTTAATTTTTCATAGTAAGAGTTTTTCCTCATGTAATTGTCTCAGAATATTCAGAATTCTCAGAATGTGCATCAATTTTCTCTATAAAATTAAATTTACCCTCTTTTCCTCTGATTTTGTTTTTTAAAATATTTCTGGCTGTTTTGCTGGTTACAGAATTGGTAGGAGATAATTTTTCTTGTAGGATTTTAGACATCGCAGCTTGGAAAGTTTAGAAGGATTTGGGAAGGCAAAATTTATAGACACACGGTTCTAGAAGATTCCGAGAAATGTGTAACAAAAGTGAAAAATGTGTCCATGGCATTCAACACGTAATGGATGTATTTTACAGAAAGTTTGAGCATGAATTTCTTATTCTTTTGGAGATTGTCTGGAAGAACGATGAAAACGTAATATTTGAATATTTTACTTCTGATACTAGAATCTTTTTCTTAACATGTTTACCTTCCCTTTATTTTCTTCCCTACTTTTTCACTAGACACAAGCATAGAAAATTTTAATCAAAAATGCTTCTAATGTTATAATATGGGACAGGCAATTCATAGAAAGGAATTTTTTATTAATAAAAAAATTGAAAACTTGACAATTTAAAAGATTCATTTAATATGTCTTAATGCATCATACATTAGAGGGCTGGGCACCTAGGCATTTTCCCACCTGATATAATCTCTGTGGATTCCTTAAATTCTGCTGTCTATTTCTTTCTAAAGTTCTGCTTTCAATGTCTCCTATGAATTCTAAAAGTTTTGGCCATTTCTAGATTTTGTTGCTCGGTGTGTCACTAAATTCTAAACATTTTGCCAAACGAGGTCTGTAACCGGCTGTTACCATATATATTTCACATTTCTTTTGAATGTCCATATTACTAAAATAAAATTAGCTGCTTTTTATATACATTCTAAATGCATTTAGTGCTTTTTAGAATAACAGAAATCCTTAATTAAATCCAAATATGAAAAGGAAACATGTTGAAGAAAGAAACTGAATACATAAAGAAAATTATTCTTCAAAAATATGTGCAAAGATATATGATATATACATATACAGTCAAAAGTCTTTAATCCGTACTCGTCGGGATTTCGGCGATTCCAGATTATAGATTATCAATTTAAATCTGGTAAGATGGCATGCAGAAATTATAAAATTAAAAGTATGAAACCGTAATTTATGAAATAAAGAGCAATTATGATCTAAAGGGTATCAAAATTTACAAAAAAAAAGTTTAATATTTATTTGTTTACTTTATTAAACATTCATTTCAACGCGCGCATGCATAAAGCATGCATTACGCATAGTAGAAATTAGAAAATTGCAACCAGAAAACTATTTGATGTGTATTCGTGATATTTATAATGACGATGAATTTGATTTAAATCATATCAAAGACGGAGTACATCGAGATGAAATACTACATTTAGTAAGGAATTATAAGCCGAATAAAATAAAAACAGCTGCCCTGAAGATGAGGATAGTGCTGACAGATCAACTTTCAGTTCATTGCGCGTTGCGACGTTCCCCCTCCCCCACCCGCAGAGCAGCGTGAAATTGATAAACAGATTTCGGAATGGTTAGAGACACAAAGGATATGCCTTTATCCATTTTTTGCAGCAATTCCACTTTTCTGTTTGATGGACATTCGAAATATGCTTTCGCTTTGTAGATCCTGTTGGCAGCTCCAGAATTCGGAAACTCCTTTTTGACATAATCGAGAGTTCAAGCTTTAACTGTTCATAAAATTGCTGTAATAATAAGTCTGGGAAAAAATAATAAGCTGGATCCAATCAGAAAGGATTACAGTGCAGTTTAACGCATATCTAACAGAACATTAACTCCGGATCAAATTGTATAATTTTAGCTTAGCTTATACCGTTCGCTATACATTAAATGCGCATGCGTAAAGGTATTATGCCCATGCTCAGAAAGTTTGTAGCTTTGAGGTCTGGATTAAAGACTTTTGACTGTATTATGATATTATCTAAATTACCCAATTGTTTATAATTTCAGCCTTTACTATAATTTCCCATTTTTATTTCTTCATATGATAAGAGTTACTGAGCCAGATTAAATTTAAATTAAATTGTATAATCTTTGACCACTAGTCCACATTTTTAGCTTGAGTTTGATTGTTCTTGTTTAATTATGTCACTGTGAGTTGTAATTGATTTGTTAGCATCAGAACATGCTTTTATGTTCTAAGTTCTTTTTTAAACCTTTGTCTGATATTGTAGTTACTTTCAAACATATCGATAATATGCATCACGTCTGTTAGGGGTTTTCAACTATTTAACTTTTACCAGATCAAGTGAACCCTCATAGGTACATCGTGGAGAGATTGACAAGTTAGGAGATAAAGCACGCAGAAACTAGCGAGAGCATTGGTTTGCATTTTGAGACAAATCTCTTAATTGTTAGAAAAGATGCTTAAAGAGAAGAAAATTGATATATAGTAGCCAAAATGTTTGGGAAGGCTTCAAATTAAAATGACGGATAAATATTTTTTTGAGTGTTGTTGTTACAAAACATAAATGTTTTGTAGCTTTTAATCTGTAATTATCCTAATATCTTTTAAGAATTAATGTCATAAATTACATGTATTTTAAACGGTGAAATTTTATTAGATTTCGATTTTAATA